GGGATCAAAGGTACTTTTGCAGTTGAATGAACTGTATTTTGTGATGGATCCAATGATTTTGATCTTATTTTACTGTGCCCTTTAGAATTCCTATTTGGTAAAAACTTTTGGCTTTCGTTCTTATGTTGAGGGTGCGCAGGCAAAGTTTCGAAGATATCCTTCGGAACGTAAAACAAGTCGGCTGGTTTTTTTGGACCAAGAGTCTTTTTCTGACGATTGTTTATATCAATGGAAGAGTTAATCAAATCTTTAGAGTTATCCTCTGCTGGAACGTAAAGTTCAAATTTTAAATGGTAAAAGTACATGTTAGGAAAATCAATGGAAAAGTTGGGTAATGAACTAACATGATATGCGGATGAGTGGTTTGTAACACGGCATTAAAATTATGTAATTACCAAAACCAGAAATGCTATCTGTTAATAGTTAGTTTATAATTGATATATTGTTCATAAACTATAACATATCTGAAATTTTAACTAATATTGCTTAAATTTAAAATAATTTATTAAATTAATATACAATAGTAAAATATTTATTTATTTATTTATTTATTAAATAATCTCAATAATAATATTATACTAATTTAAATTTATTAATAAAAATATATATTGAAATTTTATTGTTTAATTTAATTATATTATTTGATATTTAGAAAATATATAATAATTTGAATTAAAAATATAATATTCAATAATTAAAATAAATATTTAAACCAAAAATATATTTGACAATTAAAAAAAATTAATAATAAAATAATTATATATTTAACAATTAAAAAAATATAATATTTAATAATATATTTAAAAATTTTAATAAATTTATATTAAATTTTAATATAATTAATAACTTTTTTATTTATAATAATTTAATTTAAACATTTAACAAAATTACAATAGTAATAATTGCTATTTAATAATAATATTTTTTTTTTTATAATCAAACAAGTATTTATAAAGTTTATTTAATTTTAATATAGAATACATATTGGTTTTATAACTTTTATATATAAACTTTTAACTATAATACTTGAATACTTGTCTTAGATAAAATTATCTCTAGATATAACCTTGGAGATGAAAAAAATTGTTTGTTCTTATATACTTGTCTCAAAGTACATTTTAAAATCATAGCTTACAATTCATTACTATAGTATATCTTTTCAAAATCTTAATTATATTTTATATTCCTAACTATTTTTTTCTTCTTTGATCTTGTTTTACAAAATTTCTTTAAGTTTCTTTATAATTTTCTCTTCTTTCCTTTTGTTGTCTAATGAATTTGTTTAACTAGTTTCTTTACAATTGTAACTTAAAAATAATAAGTAATAATTTCTAGATAATTTCTTTTCCTTCTTTTATAGTTTGCTAGTTTTTTTGTTTTTGAATGAATTTTGTAATCTTGATGGTTTTTGTAGTATTAATTCTTCTGTTTCTTTCTCTTTTCCTTTTTCAAATCTATATCTTGAGAATTACTTGTATTCTTGAACTTTTTCACATCTTGAGTTCCATATGTATTGCTTGAAAAGCTTGTATCATGTCTTGAATGTCTTGGCCAACAGTTTGTGTATATAAGTATAAGAGATCTTTATAATTCGAAAGCTTGTTTTTTAGTCCAGGATGTCTTTTTTTTTCTATAAACTTATATTTAAGTTAATTATTTCTTTAGTTAATTTAATATTTCTCTTTTTTCATCAATCTAAGAGTTAAATAATTTCTTTCTGTTTTGGTAAATCAAAGATAAAATATTTAGAAATCCATATTTTTAAAAGCTTTTTTTGTAACAATATCCATATTCTTTCTTTATAACTTTTTATTTCTTTATATAATAAAAAATAATTTAATGTTTCATTCTCTAATTCACAAAATATATATTTTGTATATCCATTGTAACTTGAAACATTGCATTTGGATATATTGTCCAATATGAAGAGTTTATTATAAATAAGCTTGATTTTAAATATCTTGTTTTTTATTTGTTTAAATGAGATACTAAATATGTTTTTTCCTTTATAATAATTCCAGAATTCTTTCCAATTTGTTTCTTCTGAATTTTGGATCTTTTCCTTTTACCTTGATTGGATTTTATTTTAATTGATCCATTGAATTAATATTTTTCTTTTATTTGGATTTTTGATAAATAATCTTATTAAGATATCAATTGAAATATCATTTCAAAAGAGAATTGAGATTGGAAGAATTTTGGATAGTTCTTTCCAGAAAATCATTTGCTCTTCTTTTGCTGCCTTGGCTAATTGGTTAACTTGATTGTTGGCAATATTTTAGTTATGTGTCTTGATTTTGATCAATATTACTTGAATTTTTTTTTTGATATTATATTTAGCATATATATTCAAAGCTACTAATTGAATATTTTTATCTTCTTTTTAATAATATTTTTTGGATAGGATGTTTTTAATTTCCGATATATGTTAATATAATTGACACCGTTCATTTGAATTTTTACTTTGCTTCTATTAGGTATTATTAGAATTATCAAAAAGATTACTATAAGTTCTACTCTTGCTAGTAATAGTTAATTGTCTATTCCTATTTGAAAAATTTTTCCTGGATAAGTTCCTTTGGTTTAAAGTCAGGTTACACTTATTTTAATCATTTGGTTTCAGGTTTTACCTACTGATCTGTCAATGTAAAATTAATATATTCCTTGATATTGACTGTTTTTGTTGAGTTTGTATTTCATGTTCAGTTTTTAACTTACTTCAAGAATTTCAATATTTTCTTATATGATTTAAATTTCATAGTCAAATATCTTGATTCCTATGAATTTGGATGTGTTAAACTCTAAGTTTGTTTTAAATGTGAGATTTGATCAAGCAAGGCTTTCAAATATATAAGTTTCTAGAGTGGTGAATGATTCTTTGCCTTTTTTGATTTAGAAATCTTGTTAATTCAACTGAATAACAAGAATAGTTTGTTTTTAAAAGGACTTGTCAAACTTGAATCTGTTTGAGTAAGCTTTGTTAAACCAGTACTTGTATTGACTACTTGAAAGATCTCTGTTTCTTGTTTAGTTAAGTTGGCAGTTCCTTTACTTCTATATTAGATAAGATTGTTCTTGTTCTTTAATTGTACTTGCCATTTCCATTTTCTTATATCTTGCTAAAATATTTGAAAGAAAATATTTCTGTCTTGATATGTCTATTCTTTATTTTGCCAGTTTGGATTGAAAACTCCAAAATTGTTAATTATATATTTTTAAACTTTCATATACCAAAAGAGTTTTATTCTCTATTGCAGCTATGCAGAGACTGAGTTAGCTTTCAACTTAAGAAAGTATTAGTTTCTGCTTCTATAAGTTGGTCAACAAACATAATATTATGTTTTTTTATAAATTGGACTATTTAGTTATATATTGTCTAATTATTTAATAATGTCTTTATTGAGTAGGCTTCCCTTTTTCATTGAAAATTATCTAACTATTTGAAATTAAAATATGTTATTTTTAAATTGTTTACAGCTTTGAGAATTGCTACTGACAAGTTTGTTTTTGATTGCTTTTGTATTGTTTGTTCTATGAGTATATTTGTAAATTTTTATTATTGAATTTAAGCTTGTTTGAGATGAATGATTATTGAAATACTTGGGTGTCCTAAGCCATTAAGCAAGCTAATAAAGTTGGAGATTTGGTTTTTTAGTTGGATTTTATTAATACTTTTTAATTTATATAAAAATTTGTGATGAATTGTTGAGTTGGATATCATTTTGGATATGTTGATAATAAGTTTTAGGATCATTCACAATTGTGCTAATAAGAAGTAAGCTGTATTGGAGTTAAGTATACAATGTTGTAATCTGTATTCAATTTATAAGATTAGAACATTATTTAGTATATATTCCACATGTTTGTCTATAATTTTTTCTTTTTGAGTATGGATATTATTAATTGAATTTCTTGCTGAATTCTACAAGTTACAGTATATCTTTGATATAATATTTATTTTCAAGCCAGATTCCTAAAAAGCAGAAGTAATGTTTTCAATCTAATTTGATAATGTTCTCTTAATTAAATTCCATTTGTACTTTGTTTGGTTTTTTGTTTTTACTATTAATTGTTATTAGCATGGACTTTTTACTATTGATTTAAGAATTGTTGGCTACATAGAACTGGTTTGCTCTTTCTAAGATATAATCCATATCTTGCTTGGAATGGGTGATCCATATTGTATTATTTATAAATACTATTATTGCTTGTCTAATGAAAAGCTTTTTTGTATTCTTTCTATTTTGAATTGTTTTGTTGAAATTTGCTATCCAAGTACAGTTCATATTATATTCTAAGGTTTTATTTTTTTGAATTTCATATAAAAAAAGTTATAGAAGATTCTTTAAAGTAAAAAATATATTATTTTTTCTTAATTAATTCCATCTTCTGCTATTATTTCTTTAGTAAGACCTATATTTGTAATTATTTTGATCATTCTATTAATAAATGATTTCAATATTAATCTGATAATTTTGAACAGAATTTTTATTCTTTATAAAACTTTTTCAAGTATTGTTAGATTGATTGTGTTATATACTTTTGCTATATTTTGAAGTAAAATCCAAAGCTCTTTCTTTTTTTTTATTGTTTCACAGATATTGTTTAGGAGCTGAATTGATTCTAGGGTACTTTCTCCTAGCAGTTTAATGAAGTTTAATTCTTTCAAAATATTCTTAGTCTTACAGATTGATACCAATTGATTGTTGATAATTTTTGTAAAACATTTTCTTGTCACTTCTAAAAGCACAATGAATCTAGTATTATTTAGATTTCCTTGCCATTCTCTTCTTTTGAATATTGGATATAGAAGACTGTTTTTCTAGGTAGATAGTATAATATTATATTTCAAGAATAAGTTAAAAAGTTACAGAATGTTTTTATTACTTTTGGATCTAAGTTTTGGAGTATTTCATATTTGATCTTGATTGGATCTGCTGCTTTATTGTTAGGAAGTTTATATAATATCTCTTTAAGTTTGTCTATGTTTGTTTTTTCTTCTATCTTGTTATACTATTCTTCTTGGATTTCTGTTTTGGATTTGTATTGCTTTTTTCATTATATATTAAGAAGATTGAAATTGATATTTTGTTTTCTGAAGACTTTTTGATAATAGAGTTTGGTTTGATAAAGAATTTCTTTTTTTTTAGTGGTTAGATATTCCTTTTCTAATTTATTGATTACCTTGATTCTAATTATTTTGTCTCTGAAATTGTTTGTTAACACTTGAACAATTCGACTTTAATTATTTTTGAGGTCTGCATATTTAGCTTCTATTGCTTTAACTATTGTTTGGTTAATTCTT